ACGGAAGACAATGGAAGGATTGTTTTCCTAAAACAAAATAGAGTAACTATGGGAGTGTTTGCGATTGCTTCAACTTTAAAAAACGGTTTTTTAGGTTCTGTTTGCAAGTGATTGTGTTTGCAAGTTTTTGCCATTTTTGGTCCCTCGACTATTATGTCAATGACACTTTTGGTACTCGACTTCTAATTGTTCCATTTTTAGTTCTTGACTATTGTGCTAGAGACAGTTTTAGTCCCCGACTTCAAGGTTTCCCACATTTAGTCCCTGAGTATTGTCAATTTGACACTTCTAGTCCTCCCATTATGATTTTGACACAATAAGTGGAGGACTAAAAAAGTCACTATTATAATAGTTGAAGGACCAAAAGTGTCACTTTTATGAAAGTTGAAGGACTAAATATGAAAATTTCCAAAGACGGGTACCAAAAGTGTCTCTAGCGCAATAGTCAAGGACTAAAAATGGAAAAAATCAAAGTCGAGTACCAAAAATGTCAATGACACAATAGTCGGATGACTAAAAGTGGAAAAAACTCTAAATAAAAGCATTTTTGGGAAAAAGTGATTAGTAGTAAAAGTTGGTAGTGTTTGATAAAATAAGTGCTTTTTGTGTAATAGAAAAAGTAAAAAGCAAATTCTACACGAAAATCGAGAAAGTAAAAGTTGATAGTGTTTGATAAAATAAGTGTTTTTTTCTTAAAAAAAAAGTCACAAACACTTAATTTAAGTGTAGTGTTTGCAAACAACTACGAAGACATTTAACAATTCTAGTAAGAAATATAAACAACCACGAAGTTGTGATAAAGCAAATCATGATACAGTTACTACACGTTCTATGAAAAGTGGCATTGATAATCTTTTTACTTAGTGTGAGTAATGTTTATCCAAAGTTAAAAGTATGACAAGGATTCTAATATGTGGGATGAACTTAATAGATTGAAAACTTTTATCCTGAATAAAAGTCCTTACATGAAAAAATGTGTTAATTCGCCATAAATTAGTTTCAAACCGACAAACCCTTCGAACTTTTTATCTATAATATAATAAAAGTTAGGTTTATACAATCATATTATTAAATAAAGTTGTATTAAAGGATGAAATCATAAACTTGATTTATACTTGATTTATACCAACAAATTTTGTGGCACCATGTGTACCATTTGACATGATCCTTGTTCAGATCTAAATTTTTTATCATTTTATAGTATGAAAAATAATGAGAATTCTAATGTAAAACCAGAAACGGCACAAGGATGAATCATTTTTAATCCAAATTACGTGTTTCTTTAAAAAAAACAAATATTATTGTTTAGAATTGTGTTAATGAGTTCAAAATTAGACTTATAATCCATATATGTTCATTGTTTGAAGCCGACATTGAATAATCAATTACAAGTTAAAAATAATAATTTGAACACACTTTACGAAAAAGACCAATGGTACATCCGATTCAATCCGATCCGACCCATTTTCGTCTATGCAAGAGTGTCCCTGCTTCAGAAAACTTTTGGGTCTGCCACTGCTAGTCCCCCATTATTACTTTTCTTCCACACGCTCCAAAGCATCAAAATAAATAGACCCCTATTAGCAAAGACATTTTCAATCCAAAGCATAAGATGATCAAACTCCAGGGACAAATGAACCCCAAACTTCTGCCACACCTCTTGTGTTTTCTGGCATGGAAAAGGTGGCACGCAGACTCTTTTGCCTCAAGCCCTCACTACAAAACCAGCATTGTCCTTGTTGGGGAGGACATGGTTCGAGCGGGTAGGGAGTTCTTTGTGTCGGGAAAGTTGCTAAAACAGATCAATCACACTATTATTGTGCTTATCCCAAAGACCACCCACTCCCCGAAGGTCTCGGACTATCGACCCATATCGTGCACGAATGTCTTATATAAAGTTATTACGAAAATCCTTGCGGCTAGAATGAATCCATGCCTTTCGGGGTTGGTTAATCAAGCCCAAGGTGCCTTTGTGGATGGCCGCCTTATGTTTGATAACATTTTCCTAGCCCAGGAACTTGTTAGAGGATACAATAGGAAGCGGATCTTGCCAAGATGTATGATTATGGTGGATCTGCGCAAGGCCTATGACACGGTATCGTGGGACTTTCTCGAAAATGTCTTAGGGGGTTTGGGCTTTCCTCCTAGATTTATTGCATGGATTATGGAGTGTGTGTCTACCGCTTCCTTTTCAGTCTCAATTAATGGATCTTTGTATGGATTTTTCGAAGGTAGAAGAGGCATAAGGCAAGGGGACCCAATGTCCCCGTTGCTCTTTGTTCTATGCCTTGAATACTTTTCCCGGTTGCTCACCATGAGAACCCGAGGGGGAAATTTTAATTTCCACCCCCAATGCGCTTCTTTGGGTATTACCCATTTGGCCTATGCGGATGATCTAATGCTCTTTTCGAGAGGGGATACCTATTCCATAGAAATATTGGTCGAATCTCTTAAAGAATTTGGAGATGCATCGGGCCTTAGAGTGAACCACGGAAAATCCAATATCTTCGTGGGTGGAGTGAGGGACCTTGACTTGCAAAACATTTTAAGCCTCGTCGACTTTGGGCAAGGTACGTTTCCGGTTAGATACCTTGGAATACCCCTTGCCCCTTTAAAAATATCGGTTGCGCAATACGCACCGTTATTAGATACGGTCAAAGACTTCCTTAACGCTTGAAATACGAAAACACTCTCTTATGCCGGTAAGATAGAGCTAATTCGATCGGTGATCCAAGGGGTCCAATCGTTTTGGCTCCAAGTCTTCCCGGTGCCACAAACTGTGTTGGATAGGATTGTTTCGTTTTGTAGAATTTTCTTATGGGGGGGCAAGTTCTCAAAGGTGGCTTGGGATGACATATGTCTCCCAAAAGAGGAGGGTGGCTTGGGAATCCACAATGCTAGAATATAGAACGATAGCCTCCTTGCTCGCACACTATGAGATGTCCATAACAAAAAAGATACCTTATGGGTTCGATGGGTTAATGGCATATATCTCCATGGGAGAAGTGTGTGGGATTTTATCCCACACAGTCGTGACTCACAATTGATGAAGAGGTTGGGGCAAATTAGAGATAAAATCTGTCGATGCTTTAATAATTTGAATGATACGATTTTGGGCCTTAACTCTAGAAGCATTAATGGCAAACTTGCCTCCGCCAAGGTTTACGAGATTCTAAGAGTTAAAGGGATCCCTAGGACTCCGATGAGTTTCATTTGGAAATCTTATATCCCCCCGAAATTTTCATTTAATGTTTGGTTGGCTTTGAGGAACCGGTTGCCTACCCAAGATAGCCTCGGTTATCTCCATATGGTTAATAGATGTGACTTGTGTAAGGGTGGATTGGAATCAATTCCACACCTATTCTTCCTATGTCCATTTACTTGTAGGGTATGGGGCAAGATTCGAGAATGGATGGGATTTGGGCATCAAATGTCTACATTGCTTAGCTCAATCAAATGGATTTCGAAGAAGCACAAAGGATCAACGTTGAAAGCAAAGGCGGCCCGAATTGCTCTATGCGCCGTGGTGTATTACATATGGCATGCAAGAAATGAGATCTGCTTTGATGATGGAAAGAAGACTGAGGAGGACATTATAGCCAAGATTAAGCATATCGTCTATAAGATACTCTATAGTATCTATCCATATGAATTGATAAACTTTTGAGTGGGCCAAAATCAAGTGGGAGGCCACGATATGTATACCGCGGTATGGTCACACTTTACACTGCGTCACTGCGACATGGATTTTCTGGATGCCGTGGCATGGACCTATTGGATGTCGCGGCTTGGGCACATGAGATATTGCGGCATAGGCAACTTGGATTACGCGGCATGGAGCAGTATTTTGGACTTAGGGTGTGTGCAACTTGCAATACCTTTGTATTTTGTTATGATTTGAACCTTATGATCTGTGTGCGTGCATGTGCAGCATCGATGTATATTTTTGAATTTTGATGGGACAAGTATCCATACTTGGTCCTTTTGGCGTAGATTAGATCAAATAAAAATCTCCTTTCATCCCTACATTATGTGGGGGGGTTAGGAGATCTAGGATACTTGACGTATAGTTTTCTTGGGTGTTAATATATATTTACATTTCATCCACACACAAAAACCAGCATTGTCCCAACACTTCAACTCGCGGTTCAGCAATTTATTGGTAACACCCCAGCCATTAGTTGTCAAAAAGAGATTTTATCATTGGCGGGATACGTAATCTTCACACAGTCACAGTATCACACTCGGGTTCATGTCTTCAAGATCGAATTTTTTTTCTAGAAAAAATAGATTTTGTTATTTATATACAATTCAGCTGCTTTAACCAATTCAGCACTTCAGCTAGAGTTTTATCAATTTTATCATATTGATTTTATTCGGTCAACTCCACTGTTACCAAACACACTCTAAATTACTCGTAGTAAAGTGTGAATAATTTGTACTAATAAAGTAGAGTATATTTCAATGGAAATTGATTTGTAATGAAATTGTTACTAAATCAAATCATCTAAAATTAACATTTTCAAATTTTACCCATAAGTTATACTAGTAACTTTTTAATTAGTTTAATAAAACACTGGTAATGATAGTTTATTAATTATCAGCACTCATTCCAAGAATAAACATTACTAGATTTTTAAAAAAAAAGGGTGTTCGTCAATGTCATTTAATCGATTTGGTTCAGTGGGTCGATTTTAGAAAAGGTGAAACCAAAAATCAAACCACACAACTTAGGTCGATTTCAATCGGGTTTATCACATTTTGATCAGTTTTTGTACTATTCAAAAAATTCTAAAAGATTCTAATGGTATGTTTGGCACGACAACTTTTAAGAATTTTTTTCAAAATAAAAAAATCTTTTTGAGTTGCTACATTGAGTAGCATCTGAAAATGTCTGTAACTTTTAGCATTAATTAATCACAATAGCTTATATACTAAACGAAACTAAATCAAACAGTTAGCTTTTTATCAAATATCAAACAGATACTGCTCCGTACTTTTTTCTTTTAAAATGTTTTCAAAATGTTTACTAAAGAGCTCATAAAAGTGTTTTAATTGTGTCAAACATTCCTAAGACTTTCAAACTAGGGCAGAGGAATACATGCTTATAAAATAAAAATAAAAGTATTTCGAAAATATAAAGAAAATGAATATATGAAATAAGAATTCATCTCACCAATAAATATTTAACAAGACAAGGAAAATAGGATATTTGTGGCTACTGCAAAACCAAATAGAATCATGGGAAACGAGTGAGCCTGTCCACAGCCGTGTCTAGGGCATCTACATTTCTGCGAAGGGTTTTGCTTCAGACACTCAAGGAAAACAGTCGAGTTCAAACCGTTTTGTTGAAGTTGTCCTACCCGAAATAGAAGTATGAAGAGTTGCTGATGGAGTAGAATAAGATGGACCGTCAAAAAACTTTCATATACAACAAATCATGGAAATTAGGTGAGGCCAATAAGGCATGAAGACAATGAAAAATGGACATGAGAGAGTCCATTTTTCAAATGTGTTTAGTAAGCATAAATTTGTCTGAAACGGTGAAATGTGTTTTATATGTATCAAATTAAAAGAATGAAGTAAGAAAGTGAAAAGTTAATAGAGTTCAAATCAGAAAAGTGAACACATTTTTTAAACAAACAAAAATGTAAAGTGTATCTCTAACAAAATAAGACTGAGGAACTAACTACCAAAAAGAGCAGGGTAGAAATGTAAGTTCTTAATTTCAACCCAAAAACAACTCTTCAACTATTTTCAATATTATCATCTGATCAGCTAATGTCATCAATAAAGTTAAATGTTTGATTCGTGAATAAACTTTAAGCCAAAAAAGTGAGGTGCCATTGTACCAACAGCTGCGTAGCTAAGGGGCATGGTAGGCCCCGACCAACCCCAAATCCGGTAAAACCATTTATTTAATGAGTAAAAAAACTGCGTAAAAGATTATCTGAAAAATATTATTATACCGGTTCAGCACAATGTAACCTTCTAGCTACGCCACTCGCAACTGGCTCATATTATAGATATGCTCATATGCCAACTGGGCTACGCCACTACGAACCGGGCTAATGTGCCTTTACTATATTATGAGAGACATATTAGAAAAGGATACAGCTGTGAGGCAAGATTTTCAATGCCTTTCATTTCCTCGTTTAACCTGCAATAGGATATGTGCCAAAAGTAAACCCAGCATAACAAAAGGATACTATACACACACAAATGTGTGTTAAAAATTCAAAATTGAAAGACTTAAATAAAGATTGATTTATAAGCCTTTAGATTAGAGTTGCTAATTGATTGGGTTTAACCTTCTAGTGTTGAATGGCAAATGTGCGATATGACCTAGTTGAGTGCGTAGCATCTCCAATGCAGCAATGAGCACAATACACATGTAACATGAGATCAATGGACACAAAATTAATTATTTTTTTCTCTCTTTTTCTTTCCACATTCTTCTATGTTTTTGTTCCCTTTTATCCACAATGTCAGCATAACGTCTAGATCTTGACATTATGCTTGGTATTTTGGAGGACAGATAACCAAAAATGCAGAAAACCTGGAAATAAAGAGACATAATGCTACTATTAATTCTTAAGTGCCCATCTCTCTCGTGCCAAGTGTGCATGCTCACATAGTTGCATTGGAGTTTCTCTAATCATTGTACAATTAGGATTTCCATGATTTTGAATTTGACCTAAGGATTCAGAAATATGTCGTTTTCAAAACATCCACCTAACATTAAGCTCAAACTGCATCAACAAATATAGTTAAAAAAATGATTTTTCGTGTTCTTTGTTTTTACTTACCCTTTCTCAATATTTTTACCAATGGAATATATGTCAAGGAGGGAACTACCTGAGGCTAGAATTAATATAGTGGTTCCCCTTGGTTGCTGCATCAAGAGCTGTATGATAAAACATTGCAAGTTTACATATGAGCAAAAGCAGTGCCGACAATTGAATCTGATAATGTTCTGAATAAAATAAAAGCGGGGTGTAATGCTGAACATTGATGGAATAGTAGCAAAAAAGGGTGTACAAATAAATGGTTATAAGATTATGGCTGGGCCTAACTAAACTGCAAAAAAAACTCTCAAGAGTTGAGTGTTGTTCTTAAGGAGTTCATTCATTCATTTAAATTTTTTATGGAACACCCCTTCAACACTTCTCAAGGCCAAAAAACTTCATCAAGTTTGTGCAATTTTTTAAGGAAATTCACATATTGGTTAAGGTTGTGCCTAAGTTAGATATGGAGTAATGATATGGTAGACAATTCTTTCATGTGATTTATATGAGTATTAACTATTAAGCATTTCAAATGATAGAGTGCTTATGAATAATGTGTTTGGGATCAAATACAGAGATGCAGAAATCATCATACAAACCACATTCTTGAAGACGACCAGCTGCATCACTAAAACAATTCATATGATCAACTGAATTGCTTGTAACCTACAAAGGTTCAAAGCACACACATGCCAATTAATTAACACACAGATATGCATAATGTATTAGGTTTAGAACTCAGTCCTTTGCATTAGAGCATTGGTATGCATAAGTTTAGAACTCAGTCCTATGCATTAGAGCATTGGTATGGTCCAGAGTGAGTTCTACATGGCATTAGTATGGGCCTAGTATGAGCTAGGTCCGTAACACAAACACATAAGGCATTAGAGCTTCTCAACCAATGGGAGAGGTCAACTTTTTAATATGATATTGAAATTCACAAATAATAATTCCATACTTAAATTTTACAAAATGGGTAATAGTAGTTCAGATTAACCAGGATGAACCTTGAACCTTAAAAGGCTTAGTAAAATCTTCTGCAGTTTATTTAGATCAACTGCTGATGACACAGTGATTCATACCGTCAAAATTTAGGTGAACTCAAGAGAGAGAGAGAACCTCCGAGAGGGTGGTCCGAAGGGAGGCGAAGAGACTAGTGAAGCTCTGAGCAATGGCCATCGAGTCCCTCTCCATGACTTCCAGGGCTTTCAGCATGTCGTCCTTGCGAAACGACGCCGTTAGAAGCTCTTCATTCTGATTCTCGGCATCGCCGCCTTCTTCAGGGCCAGCGTGAGCGTACTTCAGATGTTCAGTGTGCTGATTTTGGAGACCGCCATCGGAGAGTAGGACTTCCGACCTCTCTGACGGTTCCATGTGTCCTTCCTAAGCAAATCCCCAGTTGAATTTGGGAAAATGCCTTGAGCAATTCTTCATGTACACAATAAATAAATGTACTCTTTTTTTACATTTGTCTTTGTCAAATGACTTTTTTAGGCAAATTGTTGATGTACACATTAAATAAATGTACTCTTTTTAGCGAAATAAGGGGATGAACACAAAATGTGTTTTTATGTCTAGATTTTTTCAAAAAAAAATCTTGGGATAAGGGTCAGATAGGGCCTCGAACTCGAAAAAAAATGTCAAATAAGGTCATATTTCGGATGCTCTGTCTGGCCGACGCCATTTGGGGCGGTTCCCGATGGAATTTTTTGATGAAATTTTTTGAGCATCTTCCTCATTAAGTCTAGTTTACCCATACCAAATTTCAGCTAAAAATTCAACCGGGAAGGTAGTCAAATAATTTTCCGAAATGTACGGCGTTGTTTAACTTCACATTTATCTTCAAAAACTCATTTGACTACCTTCCCGGTTGAGTTTTTAGCTGAAATTTGGTATGGGTAAACTAGACTTAATGAGGAAGATGCTCAAAAAATTTCATCAAAAAATTCCATCGGGAACCGCCCCAAATGACGTCGGCCAGACAGAGCATCCGAAATATGACCTTATTTGACATTTTTTTTCGAGTTCGAGGCCCTATCTGACCCTTATCCCAAAAATCTTTGTATACTATGCCTAATAGTATTTCTTGTGTTCCTTAAAACTTGGTCTTATTATTAAAAAATACGTAGTATAATATTCCATAAAATAAAAAATTATGTGTTTGAGTCGTATGGAAATGAATGAAAATTAACAAAAACTGCTTTTAGTGAAACAATGAAAAAAGCAAAGTTTGGAAAAAGGAGTATGAGATTGAAAAGGTAGGGTAAAATATACCGTACACCCGGTTGTACGGTGAGGACCGTACAACCGGGTATTTTTGCAATTGTTATCAACTTCTCTCGGGTGGCAAGGTCCATCATTCGTGTTTGAGCTGCGCTGATTCCTTCGGCCATCACATGAAAACGGTGGTCGCATGCTCGTTGGTTTACTCTTTTTTTTCCGTTTCTTTGCTTTTCCGATTTACGTTTCTTCTGCTGTTCTGTTTTGTTTCTGTTTTCACGTTTTTTCTTTTGTCTTTTCTTTTCTTCTTTTCTTGCTTTTACTTTTTTTTATATACTCTGCAATCTGGCCGAATGTTTTCAACCACAAAGTGCTACCTCTGATCCATCATCCACATACTTATATTTAAGAGTTCAACTAAGCCAGGATCTTAATATTTGAGTGAAGAACATGCACAAATTAATATTAATATTTGAACAGACTTTAAATTTTAGGAAATTTTAATAGAGCTTTTTGAATTTTACGATACCCACTTCATAAGTTATGTATATTCATTTCATATTGATATAATGCTCATTTTAAAATGTCATATTCATGCATATTGATGCAATGCTCATTGTACATTTTCCATTACTCATTTCGTAAGTTATGTATGCTCATTTGATATTGATGCTATGCTCATTTTAAAATTTTATATCAATGCATATTTCAAAAGTATCATATTCCGCATTACATTAGATTCACATATGAGTTGATTATAGATATAAGAGCGCAAATCATGAAACTCAATTGTATGTTTTTAATACTCAATACATGAGGTTTGATGCTCAATGAAAATGGCTTGATACTTAACTAAAAATATTATGATTTCATATCAATGCTCATTTTATAAGTTATGTATGCTCAATTGGTAGTCATGTTATGCTCATTTTCAAAATGTCATATTAATGCTCACTCAACAGAAACCACAATTTTCATCTCAATAGAGGAAGTTTGATGTTCAATTAAAATGTCATGGTGTTCAAATAACAAATTTTACAATGTGCACTTTTCAATTTATGGTGTTCATATCAATGTGCACTTTTCAAAATGTCATGGTGTTCATATCAATGTGCACTTTCTAATTTATGTATGCTCATTTGGTATTGATGTTATGCTCATTTTTAAATGTCATATTTCAAAAGTATGATATTACATTAGACTCACATATTGAAATTAATAGGAGTGAATTATAGATATAATTTAATAAATTTTTATAAAAGAAAAAATAAGAAAAAGAAAAAAATTTAGAAGATATGAAACAGAGATTATGATACTCATTGTTAGCCTCTTAATACTCAATACAACAGGTAAAATGCTCACTAAAAGTACAATATTGCTCATTTTAGTGGAGGCCGTGACTTTTCACTTAAATTACAAGAATGCCACCGATTTTTTTTTGGCCCATATTAGTTATTTGGTTGTCTTCCTTAGTTGGGCCGGGTGTACGTACACCCGGTTGTACCATATAGGCGGAATCAAGATTCTCCCGTAAGCTCAACAAGTCATTATTAGCTCAAAGGCATTTGGGTAATCTTGTTGCACACAAATTTGTATACAAATTGTACACCGTCTATGTACACAGACATTTTGCCAGGACAATTCTGTCTTTTTAAATGAATTGTCTGTGTACACAGACAACTATTGTGTGTATGTACAATTTATGTACTAATTTTGTGCACAAATGTTATTACAACTAGTGTATTATATTTTTATGTAACTCAAGTTATATTTTTATGTAAGGAACTTTCTAATTGGACTTATTTTTTTGGGCTTATTCACATTTTACAAGTGCTCTAAGAACCAAATTAGCATAACCCTACGGCGATAAGCGCTCGGCGATCGCGAGTCCCTTCTGATTCGACGGCGCCGTTGTCCGTCGTACGCCGGCGGCGGGTTGTACCTTGGTTAGTAGCCGCAGCAAGGGAAGCAAGGCTAGGGTGCAGATGCGGCTCGATTAGCAGGAGGCAGGGGAACGAAGTTTTGGTGAGTTCAGGGGCGATTGCTTTGTCTCCAAACTGTGGAAGTGGTCTAGGTTATTCCAAGTGGATTTTTCGGCGGCGGTGCTTGCTCGCTAGGTCCGGCAGTGTGGGTACCAATGAGTATTATCAGTTGGAATTGTCGTGGTCTTGGAAATCCGGAAACGGTTCAATGTATGGCGGATATAATTCAAGCTCATCGACCGTCTGTGATTTTCCTAATAGAAACCAAAATTCGTTGTCAACGGGCAAATGAACTGTTGCGGGCTCAGGGCTTTTCTCAGAGCGCAGGGTTGGACAATGCGGGTTTGAACGATGGACTGGTGGTCGGATGGAACGATGAGTTGGAACTAAATGTTGTCCAGTGCCATTCTAATGTTATTGACACTACGACTGTCACATTATCTCTGGATGATTAGGTATGGAGGCTCACATTTTTCTATGGATTCCCGGAAACAGTGAGAAGAAGAGAGGCATGGAATCTGTTGAAAGGATTGGGCGAGAATAATACCCTGTCATGGATGATTTTAGGCGATTTCAATGATATTTTATATGACTCAAAGAAGAATGGGAGTATCCCTCACCCAATCTGGAGGCTGAGGGGTTTTGCGGAGGCGGTGGCTTCGTGTGGATTGAGGGACTTCCTTTTTTACGGGTATCAGTGAACTTGGGAAAGGGGTAAAGGCACGAACTACTGGGTGTAGGAGAAACTGGACAGAGTACTTGTTAATGATGACTGGTGGAATAAGTATATGGCGGCACAGGCATCATCGGTGGAAGCCCCGGTAAGCGACCATATGGCTTTATCCATGGGTAAAAGTCATTCCTACAGCGATTACCCGGAAAGCAAAAACCTTTAAATTTGAAAATAACTGGTTGAAAGAAGATGAATGACATACTGTGGTCTCCAATAGCTGGAGCGCGAGCTCTCACCTCACAGTTAGTGAGAGAATTCTGTTATGTGGGAACGAACTTTTGAGATGGGATGGGAGCAGAAAGAAAGGCTTCAGGCAACAAATTCAGGCATGCAAAAGACGGCTGGCATGGCTACGAGGCAGAGATGATTGTAGGAGCACGAATGAATTTCTAAGAGTTCGCTCTGTGCAGTGCTTTATTCTTTGATGGAGAAGGAAAACCAATTCTTGAAACAGAGGGCAAAGGAATTCTGGTTAAAAGAGGGGGATATAAATTCCCGTTTTTTCCATAATGAGATTAAAAATAGGCGGAGGAAAAATAAATTGACCGGACTAAAACGGTCGGATGAATCATGGTGCACGAATAGAGATCAGGTAGGGGAAATGGTAAAAAGTTACTTTGAGCATCTATTTGTACAAGGGGAGAACGCAGGGGTGGCGGATTGTTTTGGAGATTTCAGACAGATCACAACGGAGCAGAACTGGCTATTATTGCGGGATATAAGTCCCGAGGAAGTGAGGTTGGCTATTTTGATATGCACCCTGAGAAAGCTCCAGGATCGGATGGTATATATCCAGTTTTTTTTAATTTGGTATATTGTTGGACCGGAAATATCTAGGCTTTGCTCTGATATTTTTACTACTGGAATTATTCCGAGAGAGCTTAATGTGACTAATCTTGTTCTAATTTCTAAAAAAGATAAGCCTGAGGATATGGAGGATTGGAGGCCTATTGCGCTATGTAACGTAGTTTATAAAATCTTCTCTAAGGTGTTAGCAAACATGTTAAAAGCCTTGTTGGGAAATCTTATTGGAGAAAACTAGATTACTTTTGTTTCCGTCCGGTCCATTGTGGATAATGTAGTTGTTGCTTTTGAAACTCAACATTTTTTGAAAAGAAAATGTAATGGCAAAGAGGGGTATGTTGTTTTGAAACTTGACATGAACAAAGCCTATGATAGAGTGGGCTGAGATTTTTACGTGTGATTATGATCCGTATGGGTTTTGATGTGAGATGGGTGGACATGGTTATGGAATGTGTTACGACTGTCAGTTACTACGTACAGTTTGAGCGAGATTTTTTGGGCCCGATTATTCATGGGTGCGGCCTGAGGCAAGGGGACCCCTAGTCTCCTTATCTCTTTATTATGGTAGCGGAAGGTCTGAGCGCTTTAATAAAGAAGGTGGAGGCCCAGGGTGATATCCACAGGGTGGCAGTTTGTAGGGAGTCTGACATCTCTTGTTTGCATATGACAATTTTCTGTTTTTCAGGGCTACTAGTGAGGAAGCAGTAGTAGTTAAGAATATTTTATCTTTTTATGTGGGGAAT